GTGGGGTCCAAAAGTCTGAGACCATATTGAACATTTGGGATTTATTTTATTTTTGGGGGTTTTATTTAAATTTGGAATTTTTTAAAAACAAATTAAATTTAAATCTTCTGGTTTCACAGACAAGGGTTAAGCCTAGTCCTAGTCTGAAACGTGTGTTTGAGCTTTTTTTAACTGAAACCAACTATAGCATTATCTTAAAATATATCTGTGCCATTGTTTTGTCTCAAGTTGTCACCAGTAATGTTTTTTTCTAAGGCACGTTTATAAAAGCTATTAAAAGTTGTAATTAAACTAAGGCCTAATCCTGGCTTAATCAACCCTTATCTGTGAAACCAGACCTAAAAGATAATTTTGCATTATTTTTAGGTCAGTAATCAAATTTAGTTTTAAATATTTAATTCATGTTAATTATTTAAAATTGTATTATACTTTTTTATAGTTATTTCTGCTTTTTAATGCAATAATAATAAAAAATGAAAAATTTATCAAATTATGTAAACAATAAGTTAATTAATTTTCCTATGAACACTCGTAGTGCCTCTTGAACACACAGTATGAAATGGCATTTTTGAGTGATATTCTTTGGAAAAGTACCAAATGGCAGTGATTATCAATAGATCCGATATATTGAAGAATCGATCACCGATTATGTAAAAAAGTTTGAATATCTGAAAAAAAGCAAATTAAAGCTGCAGTTCGTAACTTTTTTGGGTTAAAAATTATTTGGGTTAATTAATCATTATGTAAACCGTGTTTTGTGGGGGTTCAAAACAGACGCAGAGACGGCTTTTTTTCTGCTGGTAAGCGATCGTTAGATTTAATCAGCGCGATTTACTGCAATTCTATTTTTCTCTTAGTTGGTCAGAACAAAAGTGGATGTTACTTACTTGTTCAGATGACATTTTCCGGTGAAAATTCTTATGTTGGTCATACTTCCAGAAAGTAGAATCTGTGATTCTGAATGCCAATATCCACACCGGCACGGTCACTGACAGCCGAACATTCTCCTCAAAACACTGGACACACTGGCACAACCCACGTAAAGTTGATAATTCCGCTAATAATTGCAACTGCAGATTTCGAACAGAGATGGCGACAAAGAGGAAGAACTACGAACTGCAGTTTGTTCAGTTTTGAGTTTAAATTTTAGTCGTTATGTTTTTTTATTATTTTTTTTTATTTTAGTACTTCAACTTTTTTCTCATTTTCATAAGTTTTAATCTAATATATTATAATTCAGATTTATTTCAATTAACACTTTTTAAAAAAAGTTTTAGTTATATAATCTAAACAAATTTGTGACATTCACCATGTGAACTCCTTTGTTCAAACAGTCAGATGTTCTTGTTTTGGGATCTCACTGTATGTATTAACTCTATATCCATCTATATGCTGATTACATTATACCCTGACACAGATATTAATATGCAAGAATTCCTTCCTCCTTGTTTCCTCAAATATCTTTTTTCATCTCATTCCAGAAAATGGGAGGAGGGGATAGAAAGAGACAGAGTGAGAGAGGCAATTGTGAATTTCTAGTGTGAAAGGAAGGACAGCCCACATACATGGGTAACGGGAGAATTCACAACCCGACAACTTGCACTGACTAATTTAGACATCCATCCCTTGGTTGCTTAGCAACACTCGGGGGCTTGATTCCCATACAGCTGTTTTGGTTAGCCGACAAGGGTTAAAATCCCTAATCAATAACATCTTCTCAAGTTAATTCAAACATCTTGATTGCGCCATTTGGTGGGCGGTCGCCAGCGATTTCTAAAAACACTTCTGATGGTATCGCGAACCACTGATGGGCTGAACTTGAAGGATTTTGGGCAATTGTGTTTATCTCAGTACTCTGTCTCATAATAGTGGTGTTTTGAATCAAATTATCCCAGCATGGTCCTGTCAACCAGCTGATTCAACAACATACTCCAATCAGTCTTCTGCCTTGTCGACCTAGAGGAATCCAGATGGGGGAGGCTTCAACTGATAGTACAGTCAATGATTTGGTGAGGGGAAAGAGTGATGAGGAGAGAGAGGAAGGGGGGCGGGACAAAACGGAAAGAAACGGAGCCTGAGCGAGAGAGTTAGTGTGCACGTATGTGTGTCAGCGAGAGAGAGAGAGAGAGAGAGAGAGTACCGAGCAATGAAAAGTGCGAGGCTTGTGCGCTCTGCCGATTCCTCTCGCAGTCACAGACGGCATCATGTGGAGCGGGCACTGTCACCACAGTGCTTGCCTTCTCCTTAACCCTCTCCGTTGTGCTTCAGTGACCGAGGAACCCAGGTCCAGGAGAACCTGACCTTCTGTTTCCAAGTTCCTCACGGACATTTCAAGGGAGTTATTGAGCAATAAACTCAGAGGAGATATGAAGTCTTTACTGAATGCCTTCAAGAAAGAAGGTAAGAGGTGATCTTTTGGTCGGAGGGTTTTAGAGCAGGGGTCTCCTGACCTTTGGTGACTTTTGTTCCATGGGATTCACGCTTAAAAGGTGTTCGGACTTTTCTTAGGAGAGGAAAAAGTGTGTTTGAGCTCTATTATATATTATGACGGGTTACAAAAAGGAAGCCAAAGTTGAATCTCGTAAGGCCGTGAGTGAATTAGTCTGAGGTGGAAAGAACATCACTAAGAGAGTCATTTCTGTCTTCGAGGAATTCAATCAACTTCGTGCTGTGAAATTCCATGGATTTTCCTTCCTGAAGAGTTCCTCAACATGTTTGTTATATCTTTCCTACAGTTTTGTTGAGTGGAATTGGTACATTTTATTATTAGAATGCTGCAATTGGAATGTTGCCACTTTGATTTCACTTGTTTGAAGGAAATGACTGTTTCGTCAACGTTCCAAAACCAGCGTGTTCCGGCAGCCAATGTGCTTGTGATGTCACCGGCTTCAGTTGGTGCCAGAAAAAACCCTGTTTGTTGTGCTCTGTGGGGCTGTCCATATAAACCATCTAGTTTATCAATGCTGGTTTCTTTTTATTGGGATTGGGGGGGGGGGGGGGATTTCTTCCTTGCTTGTGGGGGTTGGGTTTGAACATTAGTGCTGTAATGATCCCTCTACAGTAGCCTTTTAAAAAATGAACGGGAGCATATGTACCTCTGAGACCGTTTGTCATGAACATCATCCAATGAAAACCCTTTCAAGACAGCGAAGGTGATCTAATGCTCCAAGTTGCCATTACGTCAGCACATTAAGGAACAGGGGGGACTGTGTGTTTAGCGGCGTAATTCTCCTCTATGCTTCTCCCGGGTTCTTTTTCAGAATATATTTATAGCGTTTGTCTCACCCAGCCAGTGATATCTAGTTCATGCGTGAACGGTGTCTTTCAGTGGCCTAGTGTTTCCGAGAAACAAGCTGCTTTGGATAAACATCCTTCTGGACCACCTTTAACATGGCAACGGATGAATAAATATAGGCATTCATCATGCATACAGTGCAAACAGAGAACTCAAAGGAATATCCTAGACCTGAAAAGGGGGTGTTGTGGAGATAAGGCTTCATCTGGCCCTGAAATTTGTGTATAACACCTTGGAACCACAGAAGTTGGTTGCTGTGGGTGTACTGTATGTCTCTGGAGACATTGTGATCAGCATATTCTTGTTGTTGAAGAAACCAAAAACACGTTGTTTACTCTATTAAAGGAATATTAAGCTGTAACTTTGATGTATTTGACTCATCTCTTAGTTTGCAAAAAAGAGAGACTTTTACAAGGTCAATGGGGTGATGAAGTAAAAGTTATAGCTGAAGTGTGTAGTTTTTGCACCAATAGCAACACCAAACTGAGCTGCAAAAAAGATTGTTTTCAGACCACATACACAGAGTGTTTTTTTTAGTTTTGAGGGGACCTACAAAAAGCTTAGTTATAGTTGTCTCTGCATATTATCCTGGGATATGAGAAATAATACTACTGTTATTTTGTTACTTTTATTCAACAAGGATGTATTACATTTATTACAGTATTGACAGTAAAGATAAAAAATTATGTTCTTTTGACATTTCTATTCATAAATGAATCCAGAAAAATTCTATCACACTTTCCAGAAAAGTATCAAGCAGCACAACTGTTTTTTAACACTGATAATAATAATAATAAGAAATAATTCTTCATCACCAAATCAGCATATTAGAAGCATTTCTGATACCAAACATTTATATATCTGTTTACATGGTGCAAACTTCACCCAGAGGAATACATTAGTAAATGATCAAATCCATTGACCTAGAAAAATAAGCCTACCTCAAAAAGACTATTTTTACATATCAACTAACTAATAACCATTTGAGAATGAAATATTACTGAATATATCAGTATTATTGTCCCTAATTCTTCCAGTTTGTAAATGTGTATTTTGTTTACAGTTTACATTTTTGTTTACAGCATTTATTAACCTTGGGTAGTGTTAATTTATTTATATAAAAAAACATTCTTTCATAATACAGTGAAAAATGTTATTTTATGCAACTTTAAATTTTCAAATATATTAGTATATTAAGAAATGAACACTTATTAATAAATACCAGGAAAGTATTTGTTTATTGTTAGTTCAAGTTAGCTGTTGCAATAATTAAAAGTGAGCGTATTGAACCTTATTGTAAGTCTTAACCAGGAATATTACTTTAACTAGAATTCGACCATATATTTAGTTGTGCGATAATGACTTGATCAAAAAATGATTTGAACACCAGCAAGTTTATTCATTATTCAATAAGTGAGCATCAAACTGGGTGATTGTGAACTTGATGAGCAGACAGCTTTCGGTCTATTAATGGGACTAAGTTCTTTATATGAGCAAGAAAGCAAAGCGCAATCTAGCAGCTTGTACTTGAACACTCGTTACAGTGCTCTAATTCTTGCCACTTACAATGGAATGAAGGACACCTAAAAAAGCTGAACTACTTCGATGTCGGCAGAGTACTTGAAAGTCCACTTCACACTTTAAATAAACAGTCTATTCTATTCTTTTCATTTAATCACTCTCTTTCTTTCTGTCTCTCTCCCAGTGCCGTTCCGGGAGGCACCGGCTGGCACGGGTCGGAGCAGGCCACCGCAGCACCAGGGTAGGAGCACACTTGCCGCCCCACGCGTGCTGCTCCGCTCAAACAGCGACAACAACCTGAACGTCAACAAGCTACCGCTGGAACGCTCTCGCTCGCCCTCTCCTGTCGCCTCCCCCCTGCGCAGCCTCTTGCCCCGCCACCCCCAGCAGATGCAGAACAGCCCCAATGGCACGGTGAAGACCATGGCCCTGGGGGGACGCTCTGCCCGAAGCCGTTCCCCTTCCCTGGGCCGACTGGGGGAGGGAGACACTCGGAGACAGACCCCGCAGCGCCACAGCAGGTCAGTGGCCATCCCAAAAGGAAGCAATAGGGGTTATTTTTTTAGGACAACTGTCAATATGCCCATGTCTGACTGTGTGTCCACTTTTGTGTGTGTCCCTCATGTCCAGGTTAGAGTGTGTCCCTTTCTGTGAGGACAAGGTTGTTTTTAACTATTGCCACCAGAGGCCCTATTTATGGCAAATCGTGTTGTTTTTAAAAGTGAATGCAAATAGGTCAAGTGTTGGGAATTGGTGTATGGGAAGTGGACTGGAGAGATGCCCTCTGTCTGGCTTTTTCGTAAAATGTACTTTTTTTGGAGTCTTTAGGATATTAGATCTGTATGCAGTAAATAAATACAAATGTAATTGCGACTTTTTGTTCCTTTTGAGTTCATACCTCACAATTTAGGCTTTTTCCCCTCACAATTGTGAATTTATATCTCGCAATTCTGTAGTTTACATCTCGCAATCCAGACTTTTTTTGCAAAAAAATAAAATTCTGCCATTGAATACAAAATAAAAAAGGTACAGCATTGTGACTTTTTATCTCACAATTAGGAGGAAAAAAAAGTCAAAACTTTGATATTGTATTTTTTTTACAACTACAATTAGACTTAGAACTTCTTTTACCTTATTACCATATTTTTTAATTCCCTTAAATCCCTTTTAATCCTTTCATTATTTGATTAATTTCAATAAAAAGACCAGTACCCCCTCCCAAAAAAAAACTTTGGTCCCCCAATGTTTAAGATATGGTTAGGTCCTTGCATGAGATGCACAATAGAGGGGTGCAGGTATGACATCAGAACATGGAAGACTAATTCGGCGCTGGTTCCTTTGAGATTTTCCTATGGGGTTTTACAATGGGGTTTTTTGATTTATGTGTAAAATAAAGCCTGTGGTAAACATAACTTGGCGATACTTTGACGTTTTGTTCTACAACATAAATGAAACACCCATAGCGAAAACACAAATTTTGAAGCAGTTATGTTCATTTTTAAATTTGAAACGTTTTTAATAAGTAACTAGATAAGACAGCTTGGGATGTGAGTGTGTGCAGCTTACGTTGTAGAACAAAACGTCAAAGTATCGTCAAATTATATTTACCACAGGCTTTATTTTACACATAAATTGAAAAACCCCATTATAAAACCCAGTAGGAAAATCTCAAAGGAACCAGTGGCGAATTAGACTTCTGGGTTCTGACGTCATACCTGCACCACTCTATTACAGTAGATGTGTATTTTTGTGTCTATCAGAGATGGAAACTCGAGTAGCGAAAAAACGTGCTTGACTTGTTCCAAACTTGTATGACTTTCTTTCTTGTGTGAAACACATAAGATATTCTGAAGAATGATTAAACTGTGTAAAAAAGAAATTGGACCCCACTGACTTTAATTGTATGAACCAAAAAAAGTGACATTTTCCAAAATACCATCTTTTGTGTTATGAATGAAAAAGAAATTCTTACAGGTTTGGAATTAGATTTGAATTTTGGGGTGAAATATTGCTTTACATGTTTTATTACGGGTGTTAGATACAGTCTGCAACACATCATATTCTGGGGATTTAGCTTAGCTTATACAACAAGAAATATAACATTGAGTGAATATTTAAAGGGTTCTGTGTGGGGTTTTTTGACGAACAGTCCTTCCCATGGCAACTTATTGAATAATGAATAAACTATTAATTTTTAAAGTGCATTGTATTTAAGATAAAAGGATATTTCTTCTTATCTTTATATATTATTTTTAACGTTTGAAAAGGGTAATTCTAAGAAATAATACAAATTAAAAAATAATTGAAAATAATTGAATTGCACCAGTGAGTTTTTATAAAAGTAAAGGGATAGTTCACACAAAGCTATTGTATGGCTTCAGTACACTTGGTATGGACTATTTTAAGCTTGGAAGCTTCAGTTCCTATTTAATGTAATTGTAAGAAAAAGAGCAACAGACATTCTTCAAAATTTCTCCTAGTTTGTTTCACAAAAGAAAAAGTCACACAGGTTTGGAACTACATGTGGGAATAAATGTTGCCAATTGCAGCATATAGTACTGTACGTTTACTGTAACCTTGGGACGAAAGACTAGACTTTATCTGGACCATCTGTGTGCAACGGTGAAACCCGTGAGGTTTGCTTATGGCCTTGAAAAGAAACAGTGACAAATATTTGGACATCTGTTTGGAAAATATCCTGATCAGCCAAGGTTTGGTTGCATTTGCAACGTGACATGCACCTGATCCAGGATGGGATTGGACAGGCGCCCGGGCTGTTGTTTTTTTTTTAGCTTTGTGACTTTGGGTGCAGCAGCGCATAATACAAAGGTGCAATATGGAGACTTGGCGAACAATTAGGCCACAGAGAGAGGCGAGAATCTGCTCGGAAAGATAGAGAGCATGTGTGTGTGTGTGTGGCCATGCATATATATATATTCCCTGTGAGTGAATGCTTGCGTGGGTGCTCGTCGTGTAGTGAAAGTTCAGCATGCATGTGTATATGTGTGCGTCTGCTCGCATGCATGTGTGTCGGTGGGTGTGCGAATCTTGTCACTCAACAGGGGTTCTAGCGCGAGAGCAGGCTCGGTACAGTAAGTGGGCCAGGCCAATTACTCACTTCCACTGCAAAAAACTCTAATTAGATGTCATTTTAAACAGGAAGAATTAACTCCTCTGGTATTTGACCCTGTTCTCCTCTCGTTTCTCACGCTGCAGCCTATATAGATCCGTTTGTTGTGCTAGACGTGTTTTACGATGGCATTTACGAATAAAAAAAGGCACAACAACCGAAAACAGAGACTAAACAGCTGGTCTTTCGGATCCAAAACCGGGGACTTGGATTCCAGTGCCAGTGTCAAACCCGTGGCAATATCATTGGCTCTCGTGCCTGCATGTGCAGCTCAAATGGAACGCCATCCCTTAGTTACAGCAGCAGTTGCTATGGCTATGTCCGTATGGTGTGTGTACATGTGTGAGCGTGTCACTTTCAGTCGGTGTCTATGTGTCTTCTATGTGGCTTCTACTCCATGGTGTATTAGATAATGTGGCTGCTCTTCAGAGGCTCAGAATGGAACCGAAGCAGATGTAGTCAGTTGTAGCGTCATATTGCCATTTGTCAACCGCTATAAACAAGGGAAATACGAGACGCTCCGTCTCGTGCCAGTAAATGTCATGTTGTAGATACAACATGCTGCTTGTTCAGAGTTATTTGAAGATGCTGATATGTTTGGAAGACCTACTGTATAAAAAAAAAGTACTGTGGTTTCTACATTTAGGTATTTACAGGGCCCTTCAAGCTCTCTCTCTCTCTCTCTCTCTCTATATATATATATATATATATATATATATATGTGTGTGTGTGTGTGTGTGTGTGTGTGTGTGTGTGTGTATATAGTCAATTTAAATATTTCAATGATTATGTATGCATACACACGTGTGTGTGTGTGTGTATATATATATATATATACAGTATATATATACAGTATATATATGTTAGGGGTGTAACGGTTCTTGGTAAATCAAACCGTACCGTTCTCCACCCATGGTTTGGCACGCACTTGCACTGCAGTTTCATCTTAAATCTGAGGATGCATCTATAATATAGTTTGTTGAAAGCAACAATGCGTAAAACAGACAGACAGAGTTTGGCTAATGTATGTTTCTGTTGATGGATATGCATTCTGGCTTTCCAACAGTGAAGATAAAAAAAATGTGGACAAAACAGTCACTCTTTGTAAACTTTGTTCAGTGCGAGTGCCGAATGCTGTAATATGACCAGTCATTTACGCCTTCATCACCCGGGTGTTGATAGCACGCAAGCGCAGGTGAGACCTGAAAAGCACACTATCTGTGTTTAAACGAAACTCATTTAAGCCTTTCCAATTTAAACATTCAAACGCAAGAAGACGCGAAAGAGAACTCGGGCACGCTGTAAGAAGATTTGTGTGTGCACTCATCCGAAGCACGCACACCGAAAGCCGTGTCTCAGACAGCACACAAATATTGAGTTCTCTTTCAAGTCTTGCACTTGAACGGACAAATTCACAGAAAATATCAACATGGCCGTCTTGGCAAGTATCCTAGCAAACATAGTAGGTTATGTCTTAAGTGAATGTAAACAGTTGAGAAAAACAACGCATGTGGTCAGTATCAGTCTACTACTGGATCCGTGTATTTTGTCTTAAAGGGACAGCAGCCTAATATTCCTGCTGTCTGTGTTTTTAATGTTAATCAAATAACAAAAGACAAGATAATCACTCTCTGCTCTTGATTGAATAGCTTTTGTAACTTAAATAATGATTCATCTTTATTTAATTTATACAGTGAAGATTATATGCAATGTTATTTTAAATTGAATTACTTTTGATTCAATTTCTACACCTGAAAACTACTGTTAGATACCTGAAAAGCACTGTTTATTTTATTTGTATCTTTGCTCCATTGTATTTATTTGTGCTGTTGCTTGTAGTTTGATTATGTGTATATATATAAACAAATAATCAAACAATGATCAAACTTCTAGATAGATAGATAGATAGACAGATAGATAGACAGATAGATAGACAGATAGATAGATATAATTTAGAATTTATTTTATGGATAGAAATGTGGATAGATAATATTTTTTTTGTGATATTTATATAAAATAATATATTATATATATATTTTTTATATATTAAAAGCATTATGTAATTAATTTTATGAATGGATGGATAGCTAGATAGATATTATGTATTAATATATATATGTGTGTGTGTGCGTGTGTATTATGTTAATTGTATTAATTATTAAAATTGTTACTTGCATTAATTATTAAACCGGCTATTACATTAGCTACTGTGTATATGACATAAATTGTTTTGTTTTTTGTAAAAAACAAACATATTTTAGCTAAACATAATGGATTTCACATTAGCAGTTTTTACTCAAGAAGTTTTAAAAATTGGTATTGTAAAATACCTTTTTTGCAAATAATTTATTTTCATTTCTTTGTCAATAAAAATAGAACAACTCATAAAGTCTTGGCGTAAGGTCTCGGACAAGTTGAATAACAGTATTGTTGAATATGCATCCTGTAGCTTGAACCCTATAGCCTGCAACATACTAATCAAATAAACAATACTCACAGCCAGACCCCGGTAAAATTACCAGTGTTTAATGAACTCCTACAGAGTTAAATGAAGCCCGATTTAGCTTAAACAAAGTTGAACTCTATAGCTGTCAATATAAACATGATTTCTCTGGCTATGTGCTAGCCAAGTGTTTGCCGTAGCAGCTATTCTGCCACCGTGGTCATATTTTGATTGCTGCGTCTCAAAATCTTAAAGATGTTGAGACCTTATTTCCTTCGAGCTTGATTAAAAATAGACCTGTGGATGTGAATATACGTGCAGTGCTTGAACCGATTTCTAACACTTACTGGCCTTGTTTCCTTCCTCCCTGTTTTGCATAAATACCTCAGCCCACATTAACTCTTTTTTGCTTTTTTTCTCCAAAAATAAGATGCGAAGCGCAGCTTATGTAATTGTCTTTGGATGAAGCTGGATAAGAAAGCTTCGCTGCTCGCTTGACAGCTAGTTGCATTGGCAGACCGGTTGGCTGCCATAGGCGGTGCTCTAAATGAGTAAGCCAGTCATTTATGGTTTGCTGAAATATGCTTGTTTTTCTTCCAGCTGGTGTAGATTCTGTACGTGAGGCCATTTGAAAGTTGATTATCAGATATCGGCAAGCAATAGAAGCAAATTAGGATTTCTGTTGCAGAGTGTTTTGCACTTATTCATGTAACTACAGTTGGTGGCAAGGAGAGATAGTGATAGTGCTGGTATTTTTGATGCTTAAAAGATAGTTGGGGTCATTTTTGTGATTTTCAGCACTTGAATCTGATTGGCTGAACAGAGTTTGCGGCTGGGAGTTAATTTTGAGGTGCCATGAACCCTATTTAGTTTGCTCTTAAAATGTGGCACAGTGTGTTTTTTGCATAATGTTTCATATGGTTATTTTCTCACAGGTGTTGCAGGTTGTGCTACCACTTTTTGGTACTCTCCATTTATCATTTCATTTTAAAATAATAAACCAGGTGTGTCTGTTTAGGGCTGTTTAGCTTGTGAACACTTCTGGGCTCCAAAAAAAAAAGAAAAACCATATCACATCTGTATCATCTTCGTCAAGCTTTGTTATGTAAGAAGGCTAATCTAGGTGTGTTGACTTTGGGCACTGACATTGAGAGGGTCTCTGTGGAGGCTTAAAAAAGCAGGAGGCACGTAGAGGGCATATGTAGGTGCTATGTCCCAATTTCATCTGCTCCTATAGGCTGAAGCCGCCAGATGCCACGGGGACTTTGAGAGGTTGAGAGGTAGGGCATGTCATATGTGAACATGAAGTTGTTTGTATGACACGACACCATATGATTTTTATACATACAGGATGGAAAGCTATGTTTCATGATACCAGAATTCAGGTTTGTGAATGGACTATATTTATACTTGTGGCCAATTCTAACCCAGATTTGTTCAACACTGTCTTTTACCCTATGTATGTTAAATTATTTTATTTTATTTATAAAAACAATTTGAAATTGATTTGCAGTCGGCCATCCTCTGGCCTCCTTGTGAAGCCAGGCCTGCATTTATAAGTTAAAGTGAAAGCATGGAAAAGAACAATATGTGCATCCAAGATTATGCATGTCATCATCATCAAAAACTGGATGTTCTTGTGCAATTACAATGTTATTTTTAGTTCCATCGCTCTCTCATTAACACCTTCATTAACAACATCGTCGGGACTGTTTTTTTTGTCGAGTCTTTAATGTCAGCACTTTTCTGGAGAACAAGTTTTTTTTTTAGATGGGAGCCGTCTGCTCCTGAGTGGATGGAGTCATCTCAGGACAGGGCTCAGCTGCTTTTAGAGGTAATGTTTCCTGTGAGCCGTCACTGGATAAGTTAAGGATTCAGCTTGGCCCAGGGCAAGAATCAAAATCTCTGCTTGTTGGAAACATGTCTAGGAGAACCTATTTATGATGTCTATCCAGCAGAGGGAGCCCTTATACTTTTTATAGCTGTGTTCTAGCATCCTAGTGCTCCTCGATGCTCACCACAGACATTGCCAGACCCTGTTTAGGGGTCTTCATCCTCCACGTCTTCATCTCTTAAAATCAGCGATGAAACTGTCATGCCCTTAGAAATGTATTATCTCTCTTCATGTATGTTGTAGTAAAGCATCTGAGATTACTTGTTATTGCCTTCATTAACTTTAGAGCTAGATCTCTTTTTTTAAATGTTCATTTCAAGATTTTAAAATAATATTAAATATTTTAATGTTTATATATATATAATCTTTTATTTATATATTATTACCGGTATATATATATTTATGTAGTTTTAAATACATTATTAAATTAAGTATATATATATTATTGATATCATTGTTATTATTATTATAATAAAAATATTAAATAAAATGATATATTATTATATTATTTAACAATATAATAATAACAGTACAAATGTATTAGGATTATTACTATTATTTGTGTGTGTGTGTGTGTGTGTGTGTATATATATATCATTTATAATAATATTCAGATAATGTTGCTTGTATTCCCAGTCCCCGTGCCAACAGGGATGCCTTTTCTGGCATGGACACCCCAGGGTCCAAACGCAAGCTGTACAGTGCTGTGCCAGGAAGACATTATGTGGTGGTCAAGACTTACCAACCACAGGCTGAGGGCGAAATAGCTTTGTACAAGAACGACAGGGTGAAAGGTAAATGTCTCTCTAAAATTGCATTTCAGTTTAACTTTACTCAATTAAACCATATGTTATTGATGGTAAATATGCACTTTTTTTAAGAGTATGATTGTGCACCAAATGAAGGGGAAAGCTGGTTTGTAACAGGGAGTGCAGTTTCTCCTGCCATATGGAGAACAAGAATTCACAGATTCTGCCCTTCGGCACCAGGCGATGCATGGCCGGAGCTAGCAACACTTCACAAACAGAAAGAGATGAACTAGAGAGATTTCAGTGGATAAAAGTACCAGCATCTTCACTGGATAAATTCATTATAGGCCTAATATATATTGGCATGTGTATTATTTACACATCGGTAGTGAAGTGGTTATAATGTCAGTCGGAGAATGAGCAAAAATAATCTTGAATAGTAAAAGAGCTGCATGTATTACAGTCATTTTTCCCGGTGTCATATGTAGGACTGCACAATATATGCAGTATGTAAATATTGAGAACAGTGTTTTATATATTTTTTTGCTGACTTTCTCTATAGTTCTCAGTATTGGAGAAGGAGGATTCTGGGAAGGCAGTGCCCGAGGGAATGTAGGCTGGTTCCCAGCAGAATGTGTGGAAGAGATCCCAAGCAAACCCAACGAGGACAGGCCATGTGAGTGTGTACACACAAATACACACCGGCACACACATTCAACCTGTTCTCATTCACTGACATTGCAACTTATAGGAATAGTACACCCAAAACTGACACTTCTGTCATAATTTAAGGGCCGTTTACACAACTGTTTTCAACTAAAAATGGCAAAAAATGCGCAAACATTTGAAAACGGGATTCAAAGTGCAAGTTTTTGAAAATTACATCGTTAACGTCTCCGTGTAAATTACAAAAAAGCTAAATTCGTGAAAACGGTGACGTAATACGCATGTGTATTACTGTTTTTCTTTACAAAGTGACATCGCCAACTACTGGCCTGAATAATACAGCATCTTTAGCCGTTTTGGCGGATCCGTGTGAACGGGGATCATTTTGACAACGTTGTCGTCTGTACACGAAAAATGCAAAGGAAAAACTTTTCTGTTTTTAGTACATTGTTGTTGTATAAACATATTTTATGAAAAATAACTGCCATGTTTACACTGCCCCAACAGACACCGACAAACACTGATTAAACATGTTCAGTCGGGTGAAAACCAACCCCAACTAATGGTTTTTAATAGTTTTAGTTTTATTTAACAATGACAACCCTTTTCCAAACCCATGCGACTTTCTTTCTTTAGTGGAAAACAGAATCACACTGTTCAACAAACAGTTCACACTGCTCTGTTTCATACAATGAAAGTAGTCCATACCGCTTGTGCACTATATTCAAGATCTCCTAAAGCTGTACAATATTTTCGTATACAAAAGGAATGAGAGAACCAATGGTGGCATCAGTGACGTCAAACTTTGCATGAAGTGTTTTCGCACAGCATATTTCAATACCTCAGAGCTGAAATGGAGGTTAATAATCTGTCATTGATTCAATTTTTGGTCTTTTCAGAAATTCTTATGGCTTCGATTTGGCTTCACATAAATCAAATGGACTACTTTATGATACTTTTACTGTCTTTTTCTCATTTTTGGAGCTTGACAGTCCCTGGTCACCATTTACTTTCATTGTATGACAAGAAGCAGAATGAACATTCTGCTAAACTACTACTTTTGTGTTCTACTGAAGAAAGAAATTCATATGCATTTAGAACAACATGAAGGTGAGTAAATGATGATAGAATCTTCATTTTGGGTGAACTATCACAAATAAAGTGTAAGCTTCAGATTACATGATTGTTTCACATATTATACAGTGAGGGGAAAACAACTTTTCCCCTTCCTCTTATTGTCTTTTTTCACTCTATTCTTCTCCAGTGCTCTGATAACCCACAGAATATGTGAGAAGCCTTGCGGCGATAGCAGGCTGTTAATTCAGTTAGTGTTCATTTGCAACTAGGCCACAAAGCGCACGCGTGTCCACCTCTCAGATCAAATGCTCGAGTTCATCCGTCAACCATAGCTGTGAATGAGCACCTGAGAAATTGTGCATAATGTCCAAATTGGACAGAGCGCAGAAATGCTATTAACAGCAATCAAAGCACTACTCTAGTCCAAATGTTTGATAAATTTAGATGATTTTTTTTTAGTTGTGAGTACAATCATTGGCTGTTGTGTAGCTGTGGTGTGCGCACTCAACATTCACTGTGCAAATTGGCAGAAGGGGCCAGGGGCAACATTCTGTTGAGAGTTGTTATTTTGGGCCAAATGAATGCCTTCCACATCAGTGCAGCTTCTGTGCGTTTTTCAGCCCTGTATGTGTGTGTGGTGCAAGTGTCATAGAGGCGTTTAGATGTTTTCTTCATTGAAACCCATCCGAACCTTTACAGTGCACGCATAATTATTATGCAAGTCTGATCATATTTTTTTTTCCTAGCGTATTTTACCAATTCCAAACCACATCAGTCTTAAAGTCCCCCTGTAGTCAATCATTTTATCACTTAACTCATCTTTGATCAGCAAAATTACAGATTTTAAGTTTTTTCCTTAAAGGGGTCATATAATGCCATTTTTGTACAAGCTAATATGATTCTTTAGGGTCTAAATTAAAAGTTTGTAATATACTTTAATTAAAAATTCTCATTAGTATTGTAAGAAAACACTTATTTTACCTGGTCAAAAACAGCTCTGTTTTCAGCACGCCGTTTCAGTGCATATGACTTTAAATGATCATGAGCTGCGCTCACTCCGCCCCTCTGTTCTGTGCGTACACGTTTGTAACACAATACCATAACGTGTTGTTCATTATAAACGTGGGATTATGAATTATATGGAGAACGTCGTACATAGAAAACATGCAGTAATGTACCCTGAGTGTAAACCTTAGACTCATTCATCGTGAAGCGATTTGCAAAGATATAAATAATATTAATATAAAGTTTAATAAAACGTTACACTCACTTCAGTTGTTCTAGAGGTTCAGCAGGAACATGAATATCTGCTACCGATTCTTTATTCAGGAGCAGCTGCTTAGCAAAACCAGCTTTATACTGATCCTCGTTTATAAAGCAGTCTGGTGAGAAATGATTCGCGCAAACGTTGCTCGTGTGGAATATTCCCTTCGAAAACAAACTCAACCACTGCGTCTTCAGCGGTTCGGATTTAGGAACATTAAAATGACTGCTGTGTTCGTTATTACACCCAAGAACAGAACACCACAATCGCTTAGACGCCATTCTGCTCATAGACAGTGCTCCAGCATATCAACAATGACCGCGCCGGTCCGCGTGGACTATGATTGACAGCTCTCACGAGCGAGGGCGGGTCTGTGTTGAAACGCGCCTATCAATCAACAATCGCAGGAGGGGCGTCCGACCGTGTGACGTCACACGGTCGAACGGCTCGATTTGAGGCAGGGGAAAACATATAAGGAGATTAAAACAAAACCACTGGATGGATTTTTATCATTATATGATGGTTGTGTACAGGCACTGCCAACACACATTTCAGTACAATCAACTTGAAAAAGTGCATGTACCATTATATGACCCCTTTAAAAAAAAAAATCTTCATGCCTTAAAATAGCTTGAATGTAACTCTACACCTTTGCCTCATTTAGTATACGTGGTTATATGAATATGCAAATTTGCCCCGCCTCCACTCACTCACACCAGCTCAGAGATGCACTCGTTGACGATCACACGTTGACCTGATTGGTTACAAGGTAGTTTGTGACGTCAGAAACACCAGCGATTTCAAACCGAAATTGAGACTGTCTTTGGTTCACTGCAGTTTTAAGGAGAAAATACTCAGCAATGGTGTTGACTTATGAATTTGCACATGGTTTGTCTTAAAGCATATTAAAAAAAAAACCACAGACATATAAACAACATTAAAAACTTGATTTTCACCACAGGGTAACTACTATTAATTTGGTATATAATCATTTATAAGTGATATATAATACTATACTATGTATAATATAATACTGCAATTCTATAGAAATTGCTAAATTGAGGCATGACCATTGGACAAGAAATGCTCAGGTTGAGAAGAAAAGATATTAACTGCAAAAGTTTTCAATTATTAAGGTGAAGAGTTCTGTGTTAAACCAAGAATTAAAGCACAGTGTCACAAAGTCTCCAGTGCCACCATTTTCCAGAACTGTCTGCAACCTAGAGTCTCCAGAAGTACAAGGTGTCTGGTTCTCAGAGACTTTGCTAAGGAACAAACACATCTTGAAACATGACCCCCTCTTAATAAGAATCACATTGATGTGGTTTGGAATTGGTAAAATGTGCTAGAAATATGATCGGAATAAATATTGACTTGCATAATAATTATGCATGCACTGTATAACAGTAGTAGAAGGCTTTGCATTGCATCGCACTTGACATAATTACACACAACGTAATTATCCGAATCCTGTTGTTAATCTACAGTCACGCTTTAGTCTAAAATCTCAATGATAATTCTCTGCTGTGGTCCAGATTGTTGGCTATGACCATGTACAGTAAGACAGCCATTGGCAGCTACATGAAACAAATGGAGAGCTGTTCACGACAGCATGTGGTGAGCAGAATGGAGGTGTGGTGAACGACAGCTGTCATTGGCCAAGAGGCTTTGGCCCATGTGACTCGGGGAGAGAGTCTGGCTGACTCAGCTCTCAGACTGTAAGATCTAAGTTCACCCGTCATATGATGGAACATGACATTTGCCTTGAGGTTGTCCTTCTGCATCTGTATGGCTAACTGTTTTTGGTGAACTGAATTGTAAAAAAATGTTTTCAGACAGGTTTCCTTGCTGCTGTTGTTTGGATAAACAAGTAGTCCCACCCTAAACTCATTCTATTGGTTGAGCCAGTGTTGCTATGCTTAGTTGGTCGGAATTCTCAAATAAACATAGCAATGTTTTGAAAGCGCCTCAATGTTTATACTTTTTAGGGGAATCTTGGCCTAGTTGTCTCTGGGTATGAGAAAGTATTTTAACATCGTAAAATGACACAAATAACCATTTAAACATGAAACGTATGTTTTAATAATTCTTGCATAGTTGATGAGTAAATTGGTTCAATGACAATGAGAACGTCTAGTTTTAAAGTCTTTGCAAAAACATTTTTTTTGCTTTTTACCATTTTCAAGAAAGCTTTTTAATCGAATGCCACGAATAATGTCATGTGGTGTAACCATCAAGTAAAATTCCATATGATGAGTATTTAATAATTATGTAATTAATAAAAGGTTAAAGTTTTAGGTTCAAGTTTAGAGTTTTATTTTCCAAGGTAAAATGCAATTCATTAGTAATTCATTCTTAAATATTATTGTGATTTTTGTGTTTTTGTGAGGTTGTAACATGACATTGTAGAACCTAAACTAACCTTCCCAACTTATATTATATCTTACTAAACTTATTGACCTTTACAGACAGTCATAAGGGTCTGCAGAGATCCTCGCTATGATATCATTTACTGTTTTTTTTTTTTTTTGCCCCTTGTTTCTGCATATTGGTTGCATCACATGACTTTGTTGGTCATACATTAAAACATGCTCATCATTAAAAGAAAACATTTTCATCTTAGAGGAGGTGTGTTGTATGTGTGAATTGCAATTTATATATATATTTGAATAAAATAAGAGATGAAAAAATGCATGTCACACCATTGACCCAAATACGTTTTTCTGTGGCGAAACTGGGTCTTTTGCCTGTATCATTTTATTCCTCATGCTGTGGCCAATAATTGAGTTGTTGCAACACATTTGATCAATTCGCACACATTTTAGCAGTAATCTGAAGTGAAAAGGCTTGCTATCTTTAGTATAAGTGTCATCTGAGGCGTTTTAAAGCTCATCCATTGCTAGTGTTGCAAAAGGAGCAGGATGGCAGTGTGAAAAGGTGAGAAATGCTCCGTTGTGATGGGAGGCGTTTGGTAGCCTTGAAATCCATGGCTACTCCAATGCATGCTATGAGTGAAGAGCTCCCAAAGAGTTGCAAGGACAGCTGATTTCTTACATCGATTTACGGAATAGTCATTCGGTTCCCATGGCGATGCTCTCTGCTTTATTTTATTCACATCTTTTAAAGAATGTCGCCCAAAACGCTCTTATTTGTAGGCAAAATCCAACATTTAGCTAAAATGCATCACATACCCATCCATACGCTGCTGGATAGCCTTGAAAGTTGACGATCTAGTGCAGTGTTCAAAATCGGATATGGTTAAATCCAGCATCGGCTGGTTAGCAACCGCACAAGTAGGCTATTCTGCTGAAGTCTCTTGAACCTTTCCGAGCAACACTCATGCACATTCCTGATTGATATATTTCCATGGAAACATGCTCTACACTGTACAAACCCTGTTGCTAAGGAGTGGGCCTTGGTAAGATTTTTTTTTTTTTCTCTTTTTGTGGCATCTTTTTTTTTCCCTCTCTCATACACTCTCTCTCCCTCTCACGGCACTGAGAACAGAGCTTACATACCATCTTTTCTAATGCCACGGTTCTCTTCTCCATGTGTGTGGTGCTGATGGTCAGCTCTCACCCGAGCACTCGAGGAGACGCGAGAGTTTTTGGAGATGGGAAGTTAGGCATCAGGGCCTGTGGGATCGAGAAAAGTGGTATTCCCCCGTCAGGCAAGGAGAATTGAGTGTTTCTCGGATTGACTCGGGGGTTGAACTAAAGGGGACCAATGGACGAAACTAGCAGATCCAGGAAGAAGGTTCATTTTGGAGGTATGTTGATTCGAGGATGTGGCAAACTCAGGGGGTTTGTGATGAATTACGGATTTGTGCGACTAATAATTGTATGTTTTGCTCTGCGCTGATGTTTGCATTGTGGACAGTTGTGTAGGACTGATAAGAAAATTTCAGTCGCAGTTGTTCGTGGTTTTTGCAGCACAAATGAGTTTGTTCGGAAACACTTTTGTTTTTAGTCTTTTCAGTTGCGTTTTAAGGTAATTGTGCATGCCGATGACTTGTAGTAACTCTTTGTGTGCGTTTCAGAGGCACTGAACAGTTATTGTTGCAAACAAATTGTAGTAAAATGACTATCCAAAAGGTAATTGTATGATCTAATTCAGTTGTCAAACATGTTTTAGCTTTGTCAAAGACAACAAATCTGGTAAACTAGTTTAATTCATCGGAGACAGAGTGAGAAACTGTGGTCAAGTTGTAGTTTTAAAACTTCAGGGTGACTGGCAGAATATTATAGTTATTACTTTTTTCCAGTGGTGTGCTCTGACGCTGCTGTGAAAGTTTTGCATCCTTCAGGTCTTACTTTCTTACTAGCTTTATGAATTTGATCAAGTAAGCCACACAGCAAGTTACCCATGGTGATTTGAAATCCGGTGTTGTAGCAACTGTCATCGCTGCTCGCCCTCACGTCAAATAGACTTTTTTTTCCTCATTCTGTCCACAGAGGAACAACACTCATGTCAAGTACGTGTGGCTCTGTGTGCTGTGTACATGCCAGAACTCTTTTTGTTGGAAAGACTACAGCTGCTAAAGGAGAAACTGACAGGGTGTTCCATTAAGATGTGAGAAAGAGAACGAAAAAGAGATGGCACTTAACACGGTGGCCATTTTATTCATCCTATTAATTATAACGTCAGTGTCTCTTTGGTATTAAATTCCTCAGCTCAGTTACAGTATATGCATGTAAAATCAGGTATTGCTCAACTGCATAATGCAAAACCTGACAAAACACATCTATAAATGGTAATGTCAAGGCTCAGAGTGTGATGATTCACTTGCACACTCAAACGATTCAGTTTTGGTTTATTAATTTCACGGGATGCATCATAGCACGTCCAGTCTGACCTCAATATTATTTGATTCGTTTTTATATAAATGGCAAAAATGAAAGCAAAAAATAAGTTGCAGAGTGCCAAAAGATTCATATTTTAAAGCCGTATTTTAATGCTGTGATTGTTTTTTCTTTGGTAATGAACATATGAATTTTAACCTCTCTAGATGGACCCATTTTGATCAAATGTTTTGATTAACCAAAATATTCATAAAACCGCATTTTTATATATTTGAAACCACTGACATATGGGGAGGACATCTTACATTAGCAGTCACAGGATAGAGCGGATGTCTCTGAAGAATTGCGCTGAATCTAAACCTCCTTTTGTTTGAACATCAAAACGTTTCAGCTCAACAAAGAATTGAGCGTCTGTAACTTTAACAGCTAACCAGTGAGTAGGTTGGAAGGGGAAAGTGTTGAATCCCACGCAGCCTCCTGACTACTGATATCATCGTGTATCAACAGAACCGCAGAGGACAATACAAATGGTGCATTTTTCTGAAGCTGCAGCCTGCAGAACAAACTCCTTAAGAATCTCATTAATGGATGAATATGTGTATACGGTTGCTCAGGATCTTTATTATCATCAGTTGTGCCCCCTTTAATCTCTATACTTCCTCCCTAGATACAATCTTTATAAGTGCACTTTTGGGGCCGTGCTTAACATGAAGGTGATTTGATTGAATTTGGATATTAATCGACTCTTTGTGTTTGATCCATTTGTACGAGTCCTCTGCGGACGGTTGTTTTAATGTCGTACAAACATGATGCCATAATGCCGTGTAGACATTTAATCTCTGCGACATAAAAAAAATTATCTTCATTAGCTTTGTTGGCTCTTTTCCTGGTTCCTTTCATAAAACGCAGTCAATATTTGGCCTTCCTGAGCTCTCTCGGAGGACTAGTCTAGTTTGGCTCCATTATGGGCCAAATGGTCCCTGTCTTCCAAAGGGCTTTTTATTGGTTGCAATTAAATGTGTAATGTGGTATAGTTAGTTTAGTGCAGATTTTGAATTCACTGTTATAATTTGTGGATTCATTGTGAGCTCATGGCGTGTTATCAAGAAATTAGATTGTTTTTTTTTTTTGCGTCATGCTGGTATTGATTTTCAGTGACAATCTGTATGCCAAGGTGAAACGGTAAGCACCTTTTGTCATTTATTTCATTATTTTCTAGAGCACAGTTGGTGTCGTCGCGTTGGCTAAACGACTAAATGTTTAAAAAATGGCACCTGGGTCTGTGTGACATATGGCACACAGTAAGGCCAATTTGTGACTAGACAGCTTTTTCAGTGCAATTATGTAACCGAACCTTTACATTGAACATTCTCACTTTATCACATCTGCTGTACTTCTCAAAAATGCTGGTGCTTATTTTTATTCGTTTTGCACATTTTATATTCGGTGTGAAAGTAGTGATAATGATGTTGTGAAGTGTTCAAAGTTTGGTGGGTTAGTGCTTGAACACAGTCACACTAGAATTTTGGTGGAAACTTTTTGTTTATGTGTGAAAATAAGAAGAAAAAAATGAATTTTATGGCTCTTTCTCAGTGGTACAGATTCTGACCACTATGCAACATTGAAATATTACATAATTGGAGTTATCTAAAGTAAATGTCTGTGAATATGTCTTCACAGATGCCCGGGCGGACCGATCAGAGAGAAGGAAGCTCTTCCGACACTACACTGTGGGATCTTATGACAGTTTTGATGCATCAAGGTATGATCAAACATTTTTCTAATCCATCTGACCATTGTTTAAAGTGTGTCGGGTTCAATATATGACGGTAGTTTTAAATGAGTTCTCGATTGCATACATATTTACAGTTCAGACAAGGATAGTGATCGATTTTTTTTTTTACTCTAACCAATTTTCTGCATATAGAATATTGCAGTGTCAATATTAGTATGTTTTGCCTCGACAAGGTCAGCTAAGCTGGTGACCGGGGCCTTGAGAGGCAAGAAACTGGCTGGAATAAACATTCCAATGTTGTCGTCGTCATCAGGCCCACACGGAATTTGCACTGGCGGAATTCTATAGGAATGTCACTCACAATGTTACAGATTGTGCTAAACAGATGTTTGTTAACTAAAGGGATAGTTCACCCAAAAATGAAAATGATCCCATAATTTACTCACACTCAAGCCATCCTAGGAGTATATGACTTTCTTCTTTCAGCCGAACACAATCAGAGTTATATTTATTAATATCCTGGCTCTTCCCAGCTTTGTAATGGCATTGAATAGTGCCCGAGTTTTTGAAGCTCCAAAAAGTGCATCGCTCCATAATAAAAGTAATCCATACGACTCCAGTGGGTTAATGAAGGCCTTCTGAAGTGAAGCGATGGGTTTTTATAAGAAAAATATCAATATTTAAAACTTTATAAACTATAATCACTGGTTTTCGCCAACAGCCGTACGCGCGTTCACATGAAAGTTACGTGATCAATTCTCACCTAATCTTACGCTACGCCTGCGTCATACGTCGGTTCAGAGTTCACACTTTCGCCGGAACTCGACTCTCTCATGAATGCACGTACAGCCGTTGCCGGAAGCCAATGATTATAGTTTAGTAAAGTTTTTAATATGGATATTTTTCTTATAAAAAACAATCGCGTTGCTCCAGAAGGCATTTATTAACCCACTGGAGTCGTTTGGATTACTTTTCCGATGGAGGGATGCACTTTTTTGGGCTTCAAAAACTATATTCAATGTCATTACAAAGCAGGGAAGAGCCAGGATGGCTTCTTTCTTCTGAAAGAAGAAAGTCATATACACCTAGGATGGCTTGAGGGTGAGTAAATTATGAGATAATTAAAATTTTGGGGTGAACTATTCCTTTAAGCAGATTGATACTTACCATGTTTAACACATTTTGCAGATTTTCCACCAGAATCACAGAAAATGTGAGGAAAAATAATATGTAGGTTCTATCTGGGCCTGGTGATGGCCTAATTTTAATAGTTTGATGCTTGATTTACCTAAGCCTTTAAAAATTGGCCAGTCTGTTTTCAAAATCCCCCCCAAAAAAATATATATATGTTATTGATTAATGATCTTTTTTTTAGATTAATAATCCAGAAAATTATCTGTTTTGGAGTAAATAAAATGCAAAGATTTTTAAAAAAATTAAATATATATTTTCCAAAACAGATCATTTTCTGGATTATTAATCTACAAAGTATGATCAAAGAATAAAAAAAAAACATCATTAATCAATTATTCGTGGCCAGAGATAGCCTATATAATTAATAATTGTTCTTGTCAGAGTATCAAAGGGCAACACAAGTCATTGCGCATCCATTACGCAAAAAACATAATTTCCCAAAACTTCGCCACCTTACTTTCATTTAACACAAAGCGCCGCACAAGCACATTGTTATTCACAGGGGGAAAATGGTTTGAAGAGTGTGAAAACTCTTTAAATGGCCGGTTATGTAAGCAACGCCTGAGCTTGGGGTCATCACTGCCCGATGCAGACACTCTGATGGCATTTAAAAAAAATCTGCCTTTTGACATTATGATGTCATAATATGTGGCTGTAAATCTGCACATTTGAAATAAACTGTCTGTCTTTGACAATGCGATTTTAGCTACAAATCATTGGTTTACTGTGGAGTCTATAAGGCAATAAAATAATTTCAAATCATATTTTTATTTTAAACTAAAACGATATTTTAAGCAATTGAACTCTAATAACCCTGCTATTATTATTTCTTACATTTTTTTTTATTTTGCTGTACTATGAACTTTACACATTTGGCACAGGGTGTTAAAAGACAAAAAAAAGAGACAGATCCTCTCGCATCCGGCTACCATACTCCTACCCAGCTGACACACCCCTCGCTCGGAGCTGGTTGTCATGGAGACAGAGAATCCATGGCAATGCAGTGCAGGCTACTTCCTGCTGCAGGGAGCTTGAGTGACAGGCTTACAGAAGGACGTAGGTGCTTTTAGGTGAACTTGACACAGATACACGTATGATACCTGTTAAATGTGTCAGTCTTTTCCAGACACACTGATTTTATTCTCCAGATATTATACATTTGCAATGGATTCTGGTGTAAACTTTTCAGCAGGAGAAGACTGAATGGATTTAAGATTTAAATAGCTAATCCACATTGGCGTATAAATATTGGTCCGTGATGGACAGCAGTCTGAATGTGTTGTGTAGGAGTCAACAAAAGGTGTTTGGAATGAAATCACCTCACAGGTACAAATACAATTATGAGCAACTAATATTTCCAAGCTATTCTAACAGGCCAGGATATTAATGACCTTGTTGCTCTGTGACATCGCCACAGTGTCCCCTTCAAAGCAGATTATGTTTCCATGACAACCATGCATCATTCCTCAGGAGTCAGCACTCTACCTTTTGAGCTCGGAGCGCTTTCAATATTTCAGTGAGACTTTATCTTATAGTTTTAAGACTGTGAGGCAAGTCGGTCAATCTTGCGATCAAAGCTTAAGCCCATTTTGTTAATAAGCCAGCTAAAGTTTTTTTATGGGATTATAAACACTTCAAGACCTTTTTGGGTGCATTAATCAAACTAGAGCTGCTGACCTTTAGTGATTATTTTAGGGTCCAATTCATTCTAAGGACACAGTCAAGATACAAGGTTCAGTCAAATGAAATGGCGCAGACCACGATCCCATACCTGATATGAATAAAGTTCATGTGCCAGATGGAAATGAGACTCCAGCTCTTTGTGAGAGATGTCTGTGACGTTGCAGTTTGAGCGATTCTGTACCTATTCAGGCTTGATTTCCATCTAAAAGATGGCAAGCCCTCTTGTCCTTCAGGGAGAAGAGAGAACATTTGCTTTTCATTGCTGTCATTTTCAAACTGCTTATCTATCTCTATATATCTCTGGTGCCTTCTAACACCTTCAGTAATTGATCTGCTGGTGCAAGGCAGGAGGAAACACTTAGTGTCACACAGGTGTTGTGCTGTCATTCAGGACAACCACCACCATAGTATGCCTACTACAAATCTCTCCAATAACAGACAAATACATCAATTTTCAGTAAAAAAATTGAATTAATAAGTCATATTGCATTCGAAAGATTTTTGAAAGGATTTCTTTGAGCAGACTGTTAGATTCTGCGGCTTTGTGTTAAAGGAATAGGTCATCTAAATACATGAATCAGAATGAATGAATGTTTAATTTTTATACATGTCGTTAGGACCAAATTTTAGATTGCATTTATACATCTCTAAAAAGTCTATGAAAAGTCATTAAAAAGTCTGTGTAAACACTTTTGGTTACACTTTATTTTAAGATGACGTAGTTACATTGTACTCACTCAAATAAGTATTGAGTAATATTAATTAACAAGGCCTATGTATTTACGAGAGTGTTATGGTTAGGTTTTGGTTTAGTTTCTTGTAATTATGCATAATGTACTACGTCACCTTAAAATAAAGTGTTACCACACTTTTTGAAACAATTGCATTTTTAATGACTGATTATTTTTTAAATCTGTGATGTTGAAATCTGGCATTATCTTCATTTGGTGACAGACTGCTGAGGGCATTAAATGCGATTAGATTCTGATTTCTAAAAATGTATTATTCAAAAAGTGCTATTAGATTCTGATTTCTATATATTTATTATTCAAAAAGTACTAAAATAATTATTAATGTAAGCGTTTTAAACACCAGAAATCAGGATCGTTAAATTCTTCACAATTCCAATCTACAATGGACATACAATTATTTTTAGTTGCGCGTTCAGTTAAGGCCAGTGCTCGCGCACACATGCATACATTCTTCGTCACTCTTTCGCGTGCTCTCTCTTTCTCTGTGTCACTGTAAACCGTCTCTCTATCGCTTTCCCCCTCTCTCTCCCTCTCTCTCTCTCTCTCTCTCTCTCTCTCTCTCTCTCTCTCTCTCTCTCTCTCTCTCTCTCTCTCTCTCTCTCTCTCTCTCTCATACCCATTTCTCCAAGATTACCGCTCATGTTTTCCTCTGGTGATTTTCATCCTTCATCTGGCGGTTATGTCTCGCGCTTACGACACACTATCTCGCCGGCGACCGGGCCCTTCCTTTCTTAACCGGTGTCACAGCTCCTTTTTCGACAGATAAAGCCGGCGGTGATCTTTTTTCAACGGTTACAACTCTCGTCACATCGCTCTCTTCGTCGCAAAAATGATTAATTCCGCTCAGCCGACGCCTGTCAGGATGAAGCATCACTCCGCTCGCGCGGCGGTTGCGATGATGAGGATGATAGGCTGTAATAACGGTCGTTATGCGCGGAATTTTCTCCACAGCGACTGCGTTATCAACGAAAAGACGGTCGTGCTGCAGAAGAAGGATAACGAGGGATTCGGGTTCGTTTTGAGAGGGGCGAAAGGTAGGAAAAAAGACGGACCCCTCGTCGTCTCCGCCGCCTCATCATAACTGTGTATCACTTCATGCTTTATACCCTCGAGAATCAAACGGTGTTGGTCCTTCATTTCACACTATTTCTTATCCCTCGCTCGTGTTGTCTTTTTTGTACCCCCTCACTTAACGTCATTTCTGTTGATTTCAAAGCGCGTCATCGCGCGCGCACTTGATTTGATGTGTCTGCTTGGCTTGAGCTGCATGAATTGCATCCATGTCAAGAACTTATGAATTAATGCATCTCTTGGTGTCAGCGTGTCCATCACTTGACTGCGATGAATTTAAGTGGGCTTGTCAAATCTGTGAAGTGTAAACACAGACCCCCCACCCACTCCTTGCTCCATGTGCTTGGCTTGTGTTGGACTGCATTAGGACTCTCCTGGCACTTTGTCTCCAGGGCTTCCTGACACTCCAGCTGTTTCTTACTGTGGTGAAATTATTTAATTCACTTGCAAATCCTTCATAAAAATGTATGTAACTCTGACAAACCTTTATCTATCTGGTGCATTAACTACTTGTGCAAGAATTAATTTACACTAAAAGTGCCCCCCACCCACACCTACAATGCTTTTAGTTTCTACACATCTAGTGCACTACAGATCCCTTGAAGTTGCGAGTGGTGCACTGTGGCTTTTTTCTGCATCAGCTCATGCGATGCCCCTCGTTCTGTCAGGCTCCAGACCAGTGCTTCTCCCCACACTGTCAGCGGTGACATCCATGCATGCATTTTCTCTGGTTATATAAACGTCCCAACTCCTGCATTCATTTTTGATTTGGTTGGATGGATGCATTGCAGCTTGCATCATGTATCATCAGACCAGATGCTCTTGTTTAGCCACACTCATTATCCATTGGGCTACTAGACACTCATTTTCATAGGAATTTAACTTTTCACATCATTCTATGTAAAAATGTTGTTTTCAGCAGGTTTTTGAGTAATATCAAGCTTAATCATTGACTATTAATAAATCATTATATGTATGTGTGTGTAAATATATATATATATATATATATATATATATATATATATATATATATATATATATATATATATATATGAGACATCTAAAATAAATAAATTAAATCCTGGTCCTAACTTTATATATTTATTAGATGTTTTATCTTTATTTAAATGTATTGTAGTCCAATATTAGGTTTAATCTGGGTCCAGTAAACTAGCACAATGTCTTTCGATCTTCACGATGTCTTTCCTTTGGTTCTGTCTCATCTGGCTTGGCCTGGACTTTTAGCGGATACCCCCATTGAGGAGTTTACTCCAACCCCGGCGTTCCCTGCTTTGCAGTATCTGGAGTCAGTGGATGAGGGAGGGGTGGCATGGAAAGCTGGCCTGAGGACTGGTGACTTCCTCATTGAGGTAAGAAAACGATTGGGTTTCCATAAGCTTACAGTTGGTGTTTTTTTTTTGGAATGATGCGAAAGCCATTGCTTGCTGAAGGGACGGAAAGGTCCCTGATCAGCTGGAAAGAGTGATGTCCAACCCATGCAGCGGACTTCATCTTGAGCTTGCTGCTGAATCATTCACACGTTAGTGCAAACAGGAGAATGTTTATGCACAGTCTGAGCTTGTGAATATGAGGAAAGGTCATGGTTACATCTTTAATGAGACAGAGGAGCTTAGAGACGCAGGAGATGAGCACTCCTGGAAAAAGCTGTGAACGCATAGAGGTCTGTCCTGTGCAGAAACTCAGTTTCCTGATATCTCCTGAGCTCTTTGGTCTGGGTTGCATTTAAAAGGCTAACCTTTGCATAGGCAATCTTGCTTATCTTTTTTTAATTCTCATTTTAATGAATGAGGGTGTAACCTTGACACTCTGAATTCATTCGAAAGTTTAAAATGTCAGGCTGGTAATCACCCATCATTACTCTTTTTAGAAGTTGGGCTTTGAATTTGATAGTTGTCTGAGAGTGATCTTGCATTTATTGGATGTTGTAAATTTTTAATGCCTCTGAGGTACTCTGGATTTGTAACCTGCCAAGTCAAAAAAGCAGCTAAGACAGCTAAGAAGTATCATGATAAGGGCTCAAATTGACTATTTCAGGTCTTAACCACCCTGTGGTTATTATTACTAGATTACATTTTGTTTTGGTTAGTGAAGTGATATCTTATCGGTATGGCTCTATAAACTACAAATTGTCGTTGGTGGTCATAAGCAAGCTCTATACCAATCAGGTTGGGTTTGTTCTCAGAACATGTTCTTGTGATCAGAAATACCTTGATGAAATGCAATAAAATGTCTAGAGGTGTATGCAATTCTTCGAGAAAAAAATAAAATATTTTTTATGCTTGACAAGGCAGAATACAATAAAAAACAGTAATATTGTGAAATATTATTACCGGTAGTTTAAATAATTTTTCTATTTTAATATATTTAAATGTATTCCTGTGATGGCAAAGATGCATTTTCAGCAGCCGTTAAGGCCTATTCACACCAAGGACGGTGGCTATAACAATAAAGATATATTTCTAAAAATAAAAGAATAACAGAATAGCGTGAAAGGAATATAAAAGAACTGGAGAGTACAGTGCACAATTATAATGATAACGGCACAGAGAAACAATATCGTAGGAATTAGGGGTGGGTGATCTATGGGTAGACACGATTAACCGGTAGAAATTTCTCAACAGGTAGAGACTATTGTCTCTATCGCGGTTACGCTCACGTGACATTCCAGAGACAATTTATATAGAGACATGCCACTTCCTCAATCCTCAATACAACTATATAGGGAAAACCCGTAACGCCAAAGATGGCGGTTGTATGCACATGCCCCGCCCCTCCCGCTATCGAAAGCCAATCGTCTGCTTTTAACAGTCAAGCCGGGAAACATGTAAGCCTATCGTCTGGTTCCACTGACGCATGCGCACAGTTGAGGTTTGCGACAGCGGAGACGAGAACCCTTGCTCATGCGTAGTAAACGTATAACCTGTGGGGGAAAGGGCCTTTTAAACCTTATTTTGGGGCAAAGTCATCAAACTTTTTCAGCGATTGATGACTTTTATCATATTTTACTGCTGTTTCTATACAAGCAGTTTTTATGTCCTGGTGACCAGTGAAAGTGCAGTTCTGACTCTCTGCCCATTCATTTAGATAGGAGCCTGGTCTTGTTAGTCCGAAATAGCTGCCCGGAGGCGTTGCCAAGATGGCGGCCGAGTGGCAGGACTTGCCTAAAAGGACTTTGCATACCCATGCCATGCCGTCACGTAAGCTTATTATTTGCACTGTCTGAGAGACTGTTTCTGAGCAACGTGAGAGACGCGCGACATGAAGCTTACAGTGCGTGAGTTTTGAGCATTAATTCTGAGTTGTTTTTGCCACCTAATTGGGCTTGAACGGTCAAATACACACTCATGTGTGTCAAAATGCCTGCCTTTGTGAGTATCCTTGTAAACACAGTTGTTTTTAAGTGAACGTAAACAGTTGAGAAAAAAGTGCATGTGTATCAGTAGGCTATATTAGATCAGTTCATTCGGTCTTAAAGTGACAGCAGCCTAATAAACCTGCTGCTGTCTGTGTCATTTAATTTTAATCAGTCAATTTCATTGCTCTTGACCGAATCGGATTTTTAACTTTAATAAATATAAATGTAGATTTAATTTACACATTGAAGACTATGCAGTTTTTTTATACATTCGATTACTCAATACAATTTATGTAGTAGGCTCTTTCTATTTAGGCCTATCTAGTGCTTGAAGTTTTTCAGGTAGGCCCATTTAATTTGTGTCTATTGTTTTTGTGATTTTTTTTTATTTAATTTGTTTCAATGGTATCAGAGATGTTGATATAAAAACTTTATTTAAAGCAAAAATAACTATTTCTTGATATATATCGTTATTGGGACATAGCATTACTTATATGGTGATATAAAATTTTGGTCATATCGCCTACCCCTAGCTGGAATCACTTTCAGAATGATTTTTGTCTTGCTTATGTTTGATAAAAACATTGACAGCCAATCAGAATCCATCCTGCTTTAAAGAGCTCAAGAATTTAAAGCAGCAGACGACAGAACTGCATCTCACGCTTAGAATAAACAGAATGATGTAGTCATGTTTATAGTTATCTTTTTTGGCATGAACAGGCCAATATTCCAGTCTTCAGTGTCACATGATCCTTCATAAATCATTCTAATTTAATGAGTTGCTGTTCAAGAAACATTTATTTTATTGTCAATGTTGAAAGCAGTTGTGCTGCTAAATATGTTTTGTGGAAACCATGATACTTTGTTCTTTGATTAATAGAACAACATTATTTGTAACATTATAAATGTATTTACTGTCAGCTTTGATCTATTTATTTTAATGCATCCTTGCTGAATAAAAGTGTATATGGATGACTAGTCGACCATCCAGTCCATCCCATTATAAATATGTAACGATGATAGAAGTTTATCTGCAAAACACCTGTCTTGCCTCCTCCGTTCTGGCTGAACTGACACTTCAGCAAAGACTGACCACGAGACATGAAAAGCATTGGGAATATCGTCCTCTTTTCTACATCAGCAAAATAAGTTCATTTGCATGCAAAATTCAAGAGAACACTCACTTTGTGTTTAAGCACAGAGAGCAGATCCAAGATCTCAGCACCGCATGAAAGGCCTGAGAACGGAAGAATATGATTGGCTCTCATGAGCGGCAAAGATTTCATGAATTATTAGCTCCTTACGGTAATCTAAGTCTTAAAGTATCTAAGCCAGAATGTTTCTATGATAGAGCAATGGGAGCTGCATTTTAATGATGTCATTTTGCAGGAAGTTTAACGTGCTATGATTTTAAGTTTAATTAGTTCACTATGTTAAACTAATGACAGTTTCCGTATCACAAAATTCTGCATCCAATAGGTAGTTGACGTATTGCAGTGACACGCTATAAACATATAGTAGTCTTATAAATTTTAACCTAAATTCTTGATTTAAAAAGTTTAACTCAACTACTATGTTGTGTATAAGATATACAACATAAGTGTATATAAATGCAATATTGCATTCTAACCACTTTTAGAGGTGACGTTCAGATCAAAATCCTCTGACACAATGTATTTGTGTGTGTGTAAAAATACGCAACGGTTAGAATAACATTTCGAGAGCAAGTGTTTGTTTATATACATTCATTCATCGTATCACCCCCCCCCCCCCCCCACCCCCCACCCCCACGAGTACAGCGGAAACAATAAACACATTTTAATCGACCAGTCGATGATATTGACCGTCAGTCCCTCAGGAGCCAAGCAGGTTGAGATGCTGCCGTTTTGCTCTCTCACACTTTGGTGTACGGATGTGTCAGGGCCCAGGGATAATCAAGCCTTATAGAGTAAGCAAGGCAAAGCTCTTCCAAAGAAATCGACCTCGTTTAACTTCACGATTATGACGAAAGCTTTCAGTCAATCAAATATATTTAAAAACATATATGTTTTACCTTCTGTTAACTGCACAGGTTTATTAGCAAATACTCCTACATTTCCCGAAGCTTCTGAGAGTCAATGAATTAATCTTATTTCCTAAAAGAAACTCTGTAAGAAACTGAAGCTTATGAAGAGCGCTAGTGATCGACCAGGAAGCTACAAAATAGAATGATGGATTTACTGAAAATACATCTACACCCACTTGCCCTTGGTGTGTGGGCACGAGTATCTCTCTCTCTTTACTCTCATCTGATCGCATTTGTGCACCTTACCCCTCTTCTTTTTTTCTGTATATAAGATCTAATACTGTATCCCAGGGCATGAGTTATCAATTCCATAAAATAATCAATGTTTACTGACCCATAATGCATTTGCAGGGCTCACCAACTTCTATAAAAAAAAGGAGTGCAAGCTGCTGGAATATCATGGATGTGGCGTGTAATGGCATGTTTTTAATAATTATATCAGCTCAAACGGGCTATTTCATGGATGTAGGATGTTTGTTGATACGATTTGCACATGCATTGCATTTACATAACGCCTAATCTGACACAAAATGCGTCTCCTGCTTTAAAACTTTAAACAAGCAGCAGCACTGAAGTATTTCTGGTCCTTGTGAATATTTCGCACTGTCATGCTGACGGGGTAGAAAAAAAAGTATTGAATGTCATGAAAATATGTAATTGTGGTTATGTAGCTCAAAAAATTGCTAGCGTTGATTGTGATGGTCGGTTGATGTGTTTGTTGATGGTTGGACATCTCTCCTCGGCAGTAATGCTCTCTCTCCAGAATGTTCTCTGTGCACAGAGAGAACCAGCAGGGAGGAAGTCTGTGGACTGTAGGAGATGCCTGCAAGCGTCCTCATGGCCTGATAACCGTACAACCTGTCACCAAAACCTGCTCCTCACCAAGTATAGCGCAGTACATAGTGTTTGCTCTGTGACACTAAATGAAA